GTCTATGCTTGCAAGGAGATCAAGAATGCACCTTTTTTTGTTATATGTCCCAGGTTCCAGCCCAAATGGCACCCTATTCCCTTGATAGTCCATAGCACTCTGGTCAAAAGTTGTGCACTACATGGGGAAGAGGGTGCACTTTGGACGTAGATCGAGGCTCCACCCTGAAATAACAACCTACTCTATCACATTGTGTGGATCACAAGCCATGTTTGTAGGTATATGATGATGGTGTCACTTTTAAGCATAAATAATATGCAGCTTCTTGGCTCTGTCTAACATTATACCAACTTATCTGTATTTCATTTAACTGGCCAAATGTGCACTTTGGCTGCCAGCCAACATAAGTCATTGAGAGAAAGAGAGTTGTGTTACACGCCCATGTTATTATTTTATAAATGTGGGTTTTTGCACACTCATTTGTCATCTGGCGGGGTGATTTGACACTCACAATGGAGGAGGAAGAGGAAAGCAGGCAGTCGGTGCCAGAACACGAAACATAACCTACTATATAAACATACTGTTATTTGAACAGGCTTTTGAAAAGGCTGCCAGGCATGCGGTTTGAGAAGCAAAAATATACACACTGAGTGTACAAAACATTAGGAACACCTTCCTAATATTGAGTTGCACCCCCTTTTGCCCTCAGAACAGCCTCAATTCATCGGGGCATGAACTCTACAAGGTGTCGAAAGCGTTCCATGGGGATTCTGGCCCATGTTAACGCCAATGCTTCCCACAGTTGTGCCAAGTTGGCTGAATGTCCTTTGGGTGGTGGACCATTCTTGATACACACGGGAAACTGTTGAGGGTGAAAAACCCAGCAGCATTACAGTTCTTGACACACACAAACCGGTGCACCTGGAAACCTACTACCATACCCCATTCAAAGGCACTTAAATATTTTTCCTAATGTTTTGCACACTCAGTGTCTATGGAGTAGTGTTGCAAACTTAATCAAAGGAGCAGCAATGTTAACTATCTGACAAGTGCAGTGCGATGGAGGTCTCAGTGCTTGGCAGTTTAAGAGCTTTACACCTCTGGTTACAATTTACATTTTTAAAATTTTTAGTCATTTAGCAGACGCTCTTATCCAGAGTGACTTACAGGAGCAATTAGGGTTCAGTGCCTTGCTCAAGGGCACATCGACAGATTTTTCACCTAGTCGGCTTGGGAATTAGAACCAGCAACCTTTCAGTTACTGGCACAACGCTCTTAACCACTAAGCTACCTGCCGCCCATCATGTTACAGTATATACTGTAGGCTGTGTGTGTCCCAAAATGGCACCCTATTCCCTAGATAGTGTGGGCCCTGGTCAAAAGTAGTGCACTATATAGGGAATAGGGTGCCATTTGGGACGCACATGTAGTCAGCCTTTCTGTATGTGTTTGTCTCATTGAGGTCTGAAAAAGAAAACCCCTATTATGTCACAGGGTATGTACAGTGCAATATCCTAATTTTAAACCTAAGTAACCATGGCACATGGTACAGTAAAATGCAGATTGTAAATATGGATACAAGGAGGGAAGTGCATAGTACTAAACTATTACATTTGAATTAACTCTGTTCTTTTAATACCAGAACTATACAAATATTTTATGAACGCATAAGAGGATACCCTGACTGAATATCAAACAGATAAAGACAAAACTAAATTTAGGATTTCTTTGAGTGACTACTTGAGAGGTATAATTTGTTTTGCGTGATGATTCCATAGTGACGGTGCTTCCCTCTGACAGTGCTTCGCTTTGGTTTTTGATTGACAGTGATTTGGAACTGTGTGAGTAGCAGGAAATTGCATCACAAAGGGCTGATTGGAAGGCTGTGACGATCCATGTCTTATCTGAGGCCACAGCTTGACAGATTTCTCTATTGAAAGTGTGTAACACAAAATGGGTCATGCTTAATCAAGAGGAAAGACAACTCTATCAATGTCTGCTCTGTCAGTTGATAAAAGAAGACATGGTTTTCGTGGCTTCGTATCTTCATTCATTGTTGATACGAATTGTTCATAAATGATGAAATGTTGAGGAAAATTGTAAATGAACACAACTGAGATAAAAAGCAGGAAAGACTATTATTTTTACAATACTATCTCAATAGTTTTTTGAGGTAGCCTAATGTTTACCAAATTGTTTACCAAATGTTGTCATCTGAAGGTAGTGGCCTATAATAAATAAAGGAACAACCTAACAGATGCTTCTATAATTTTCATTTTTTACAGTTACAACTTAACCTGGTAATGTTGTTTTCATACTAAGTGATCAGCACTATTCGTGCTTTGTGTCGTGTCAGCAAAGTGCTGCGTTATCAGGGATTTGGAGTCTCTAAACTGCTTCTGCCTTGAGAAATTCCACACAGGCCTGACTGACACTGTTAGCCCCATGTTATATTAGGCTTCTACCCCCCTAAGCGAGGCGACAGCACTATTTTTGTCCCCGGGGTCCTGAGCTTGACATCCTAATTATATAACAGCAATGCCAGAGCATCTCTTGCTGCTCCATTTATTTTCTATGCCACAGTTTACTGTAACACTTTTCAACCATATCACGTGGTCTGTTTTCATGTCAGTTTACATTTTGCACATGTATGTGTATGTGAATGTATGTATGTGAATATTATGGTGTGTTATCTGTTCATTTTTAATACAGTATCATAGTTTTACAAGAAAATCTGATGATAATGAAATAAACATTCTTCATTCTTTAAGGATATTTATAAGTAAAATGTTACTTCCTATAATTATTTGAGATTGGTTCCATGGTTGCCATGGCACCTAGTTGGAACCTTGGTAGTCTACTCCTGCGAATGTCTCAATAATTATTTGTTTTAGGTGTTTTTTATGTTAATTGTTTTTATCAACCTTTTATTTTCTGATAGCTATTCAAGTATAGAATGCAGAAATGTAGTTTTTTTTCATCAACAACATTGAATTGGTTTGGATATTTGACTACTTCTCCAAACTACTTCAACTAGTTAGTTGTTTGGATTTGAAATATCAGCCTAGATGTTCCTACATCTTCCTGGATCATCTCATCTCCTGGGGCCAACGACCGTGGTGTTTTTCATGCTTGCAGTTTTCTGTGCATTGCATCGGAATGGTTGCTTCGGCTGCTGGACGGTGGGTTTTCTCGATCAGACGACTTTTAGCTGCACTTTTGCTGCGCATCTCACCTGTGCTAACCATGGCAACTACACACCGATACACACGGGAGAGCCTGCTTCTTCTAAGACAATACTACTTTTCACCAGGACTGGAGGGGATGCTGGACATAGTCAAGCCACTCCAGCAAGCCCATGTTTGGATAGAACAGCCCAGGAAGTGAGGGAGAAGAGGGGGGAGTAAAGCAGAGGCTCAAGAGACTCGCTGCGACATACCATCAATGTGTTGGGCAGCCTACCAACGCCGGTAGGTGCCAGGTGGAGGAGGTTGTTGCTCCACCATCCGAGGCGGAGGCCCAACCCAGCTTGGAGATGGACAGGGCTGAACCCTTTGTGGGAGAGTGGACAGAGGACCATTCAATTGAGTCGGTAGTCTTCCTTGGTGAAGAGAAGAACTCAGAGGGAGAACTCAACCAAGTGATCCAAACAGACTCTTTCAAGCCCCTCACCTTGAGAGGTTTTGCATTGTTTACATCTTAATGTACTGCCAAAAATAGATGAGATTTGCTTGCTTGCCAGAAAGAATAATGCAGGGGTTTTATGTTTCACAGACACTTGGTTAGATCCTTCCTTCAAAGACTCAGAAATATAAATAGAAAAACTTCCTGATTACCTGAAAGGACAGAAATCAGAGAGGAGGTGGTGTGTGCATCTGTCAGAACAGACATTGGTTTTAAAATGAGAACTGATTTAAACCATGATAGCATGGAAGCAGTTTGGCTGGATATTGTATTACCTAAGAGCGAGCCAATCTTGGTAGGGGCTCTATAGCCTATAGACCTCCAGACCAGAGTGACTTTAATGAGATCCTTGAAAATGTGTGTACTGCCTACTGTGACTTTCTAAAACTGTGAAGTGATTCTACTGGGTGATGTAAATACTGATGTATTGAACATGAGCTGCCCCATGTATAAGGCCTTGTCTAGCTTTTGCAAAACTTTGTTTGACTCTGACACCAGTCAGACTGCCATTGATCTCATTATGGTATCAGATAATCACAATATATCCCAAAGTGGTGTAACTGCATATGGAATTAGTGACCATTTCTTAATACACAGCACTAGGAAAGTGATTTTAAAAAACTGGTAAATTGTCACAATACCATCAGGACCAAATCCCTCAAAAACTATGACAAAGACCAATTTACTGAACTGCTAGGACAGGTAGACTGGTCTGATGATGATGTTGGATGTTGTGAGGATGTTGATATAGCATGGGATCTCTTCCAAGGTAAACTTCTCAGTACTATAGTCCCCTGTAGCTCAGTTGGTAGAGCATGGCGCTTGCAACGCCAGGGTTGTGGGTTCGTTTCCCACGGAGGGCCAGTATGAAAATGTATGCACTCACTAAGTGTAAGTCGCTCTGGATAAGAGTGTCTGCTAAATTACTAAAATGTAAAAAAATGTACTGTGGACAAGCTGGCACCCCTAAAAGTGATGAGGATCAAACAAAGGACAGAACCCTGGATCAGTAGGGAAATCCTTCATTCCATCACCATGAGAAACAATGCTCTAAAAGACTTTAAGAGGTCAAAATCGCCAGAGTACTTCACTCAATACAAACACCTAAGGAATACAATTCAAAGGCTGGTTGACGAAGCAACAAGCAAAAAACAAAGTCAAACAGCATTGGACAGAACATCAATGGTACTGTAACCTTTGACAGGGCACAGGTGGCTGATCATTTTAATGAGCCTTTCACCACCTTTGCCAGCAACCTTGTTGGCCAACTCACAGAATGCTCTGGCGCCTTTGGAAATCATCACATTAAAACCTATCATTTTGCCAAGGCTATCTACGGAGGACAGTTAGCATTTTCACAGGTTTCAACTTCAGATGTTGCAAAGATCCTTAAAGATCTTGAAAAACAGAAAGCCACAGGCCTGAATAACATCCCAGCTAGATTCCTGAGTGATGCTGCTGATCGTATTGGACCTTATGTAACACACATCATCAACCTTTCCATTCAACATGGAAAGGTACCACAGGAGTTGAAACATGCAAGAATTGTTCCTTTATACAAGAAAGGAAGCAAACTTTGAACAAGGGAACTACAGACCAGTGTCAATTTTGAGTATGTTGTCAAAGGTTTTATAAAGAACACTCCATGAAACAGATCCTAAAGTACATTGATGACCATAACATTTCATATGACCTTCAGTCTGGCTTTAGACAATCCTATTCCACCAACACATGTTTACTATACTTGACAGATTTTGTCAAGCAAGAAATTGACAAGGGCAAATGCTGTGGTACAGAATGACACCGAAGAAGATGGCAGCCGTTTTACAGCCCTCTAACAAATTGTACTATTATCTAAAATTTATTTCACTCACCCCCCATTTTATTTTTTTAAAATGGGGTTTTTGGGACCCCAAAATTTGTCCTTGCGGGGTGATTTAAAACACTCAAAAGGGAGGAGGAAAAACAGGCGTCGGTCCCCGAACAAAAAACATAACCTCTATATAAACTACTGTTTTTTCCCAGGCTTTAAAAAGGCCCTGCCGGCATGCTTTTTTGAGAAGAAAAAATTTAACACCCAAAGTGACAAAACATTAGGAACACCTTCCTAATTTGAGTTGCCCCCCCTTTTTCCCCTCAAACACCCCTCAATTCATCGGGGCATGAACTCTAAAATTGTCGAAACGTTCCAGGGGTTTTTCGGGCCCATTTTAACCCCAATGCTTCCCAAAAGTTGTGCCAATTTGGCTGAAGGGTCCTTTGGGTGGGGGAAACCTTCGGGTTACCCAGGGAAAAACGTTGGGTGAAAAACCCACGGGCATTACGTTTTGACACACAAAACCCCGGGGGCACCGGAAACCTACAAACCAAACCCCTTTCCCCGGCATTTAAAATATTTTTCCTAATTTTTTGAAAACCTCAGTGCTATGGAGAAAGTGTTGCAAACTTTAAATCAAAGGACCCCCAAATTTAACTATCTGAAAAGTGCAGTGCTGAGGTCTCAGTGTTTGGGCATTTTAAGAGCTTTAAAAACCCTTTTGGTTACAATTTACTTTTTAAAAATTTTTATCATTTAGCAAACGCTCTTACCAAAGTGACTTACGGGAAACCCTTTAAAGGGTTTCAGTGCCTTCCTAAAGGGGCCATCGACAATTTTTCCCTAGTCCCCCCCTTGGGGAATTAAAACCCAGCAACCTTTAAAGTTACTGGCACAACCCCTTTAACCCTAACAAACCTCCGCCCATCATTTACAGTAATACTGTGGCTGTGTGTGCCCCAAAAGGGCCCCCCTTTTCCCCTAATATGGGGGCCCTGGCCCAAAAGTATGCATTTATATGGGGAATAGGGTCCCTTTTTGGGACGCACATGTACCCCAGCCTTTCTGTAGTGTTTTTTCCTCATTGGGTCGAAAAAAAAACCCTTTTTAAATTCCAGGGTAGGGAAAAAGTAAAAATACCAAATTTTTAAACCCTAAGAAACCATCACATGGTACATAAATGAAATTTGGGTAAAATGGATACAGGAGGGAATGCATATAAAAACCATTACATTTAAATTTAAACCCCCTTTTTTCTTTTAATCCCAAAACCTATAAAAATTTTTAAATAAACCAAATAAGAATACCCGGACGAATATCAAACAAAAAAGACAAAACAATTTTAAGGATTTCTTTTTGAGTGACTACTTGAGGGGAAAATTTTTTTTTGGGGGGGAAAATTTTTCCCCATGTGACGGGTGTTTCCCCTCTGAAAAATTGCTTCGTTTTGGGTTTTTGTTTGGGACAGGGGATTTGAACTGTGTGGTAGCGGGAAAGGGCCTCCCCAAAGGGCTGTTTGGGGAAGGGTTTGACGATCCTGTTTTAAATCTGGGCCCCACTTGACATTTTTTCTTCTATTAAAAGTGTTAACCCCAAAGGGGGGGGTCATCTTAATAAAGAGGAAAGACAACCAAATAAATTCTCCTTTCTTTGATAAAAAAAGACAGGTTTTTCGTGGTTCGATCTTCATTCATTGTTGAACAATTGTTCATAAAAAATGAAATTTTGAAAAAATTGAAAAATGAACAAAACCTGAGAAAAAGCAGGAAAGACTATTTTTTTTTTCAATCTATCCCCTATTTTTTTTTGAGGTAGCCTAATTTTTTACCAAATTTTAAACCAAAATTTTTCATTTTAAGGGTATGGCCTATAAAAAATAAAGGAAAAACCAAAAACAGATGTTTCTAAAATTTTTTTCTTTTTTTTACATTTACAATTTAAAACCGGGTAATGTTTTTTTTTAAATACAAGTGATCACCCCAACTTTTCCCTTCTTTTGTCGGGCCCCACAAAGTGCTGCGTTTCAGGGTTTTTGGGAGTCTCAAAAACTGTTTTCTGCCTTGAAAATTCCACACGGGCCTACTGACACTGTTCCCCCATGTTATATTGGGTTTTTAAAACCCCCCCTAAGCGAGCGACAGCACTTTTTTTTGGTCCCCGGGGCCCCTCCCTTAAACATCCAAAATTATTAAACGCAAATCCAAGAGCATCTCTTTGCTGCCCCCATTTTTTTCTATGCCACATTTTACTGAACCACTTTTAAAACCCATATCAGGGGCTGTTTTCATTTTCCATTTTACTTTTTGAAACATGTATTTTTATGTAATTTTGTAGTGAATTTATGGTGTTTTATCTGTTCTTTTTAATACAAAATCATGGGGTTTTAAAAGAAAATCGAGGGAAATGAAAAAAACATTCTTCATTCTTTAAGGTTTTTAAATAAGAAAAATTTACTTTATCTTATTTTTGAGTTTGGGTTTCCAGTTCCCCATGGCCCCTTTTTGGGGAACCTTGGTATTTTTTTAACTCCTTTCGAATTTCTCAATAATTATTTGTTTTGGGTTTGTTTTTTATTTTAAATTTTTTTTTATAACCTTTTTTTTTTCCTGATGCTATTAAATATGAATGCAAAATTTTAAAGTTTTTTTTCATCAACAACTTTAAATTGGGTTTTGGGATTTTTTGACTACTTCTCCAAACTATTTAAACTAGTTTGTTGTTTGGTTTTGAAATATCACCTAATGTTCCTACATCTTCCGGGATAAATCTCATCCCCTTTTGGGGCCCAAACGACCTTGGGTTTTTCATGCTTGCATTTTTTCTGTGCATTGCATCAAATGGTTGTTTCGGCTGCTGGAGGGGGGTTTTCCCCCCCGATCAACGATTTTTAAACTCCCCCTTTTTTGCTGCGCCCCCTCCCCTTTGGGGCAACCATGGGAAACCCCTACCAACCGATAAAACACGGAGGCCTGTTTTTCTTCTAAGACAATATATTTTTTCACCGGGACTGGGGGGGACCCGGCCCTAGTCCACCACTCCAGCAACCATTTTTTGGAAAAGAACACCCGGAATGAGGGAAAAGGGGGGGAGAAAAGCAGGGGTTTAAAGAGACCCCGCTGCGACATACCCCCAACGGTTTTTGGGGGCGGGCCTACCAACCCCTTTTTGGGTGCCATTTTTTTGGGGGGGGTTTTGTTGCCCCCCCATCCGAGGGGGGAGGCCCACCCAGCTTGGAAATGGACAGGGCTAAACCCCTTTTTTGGGAGAGGGGACAGAGGCCCCTTCAATTGGGGTCGGTAGTCTTCCTTGGTAGAAAAAACTCAGGGGGAGAACTAACCAAAGTAAACCCAAACAAAACTCTTTCAAGCCCCCCCCCCTTGAGATTTTGCATTTTTTTTTCCATTTTAATGTATTTCCCCAAAAAATAATGGATTTGTTTGCTTGCCAGAAAGAATAATGCGGGGGTTTTAATTTTCACAGACCCCGGGGGTTTAAGTTTCCTTTCCCTTTCAAAGACCCCGAAATATAAATAAAAAATTTCCGATTACCTGAAAGGCCCGAAATCAGAGGGGAGTGGGGGGTTTGAAATCTTCAAAAACAGACATTTGGTTTTTAAAAAGAGAACTGATTTAAACCATGATAGCATGGAACATTTTTGGGTGGGTTTGGGTTTTCCCAAAAGCGAGCCAATCTTGGTAGGGGCTCTAACCTATAGACCTCCCAACCCAATTTACTTTAAAAGAGATCCTTGAAAATGTGTGGGAAATCCCTACTGTGCCCTTTTTAAAATGTGAAGTGGGTTCTCCGGGGGGAGGGAATACTTATTATTTTAACCTTAGGGTGCCCCCTGTATAAGGCCCTTTTCTGCTTTTGGGAAAAAAATTTTTTTTACTCTGCACCATTTAAATGCCCTTGACCATTTTTTGGTATCAGATAAAAACACCATAAAATTCCCCAAAATGGTGTAAATGCATAAGGGGAAATTAAATGGGCCATTTCTTAATACAAAAACACAGGAAAATGAATTTTTAAAAAAATGGTAAATTTTCACAATACCCATCCCGGACCAAAACCCTCAAAACTATACAAAAAAACCAATTTCCCGATTCTAGGACATGTAGAAATTTTGATGGAGTTTGGAAATTTTTGAGGGTGTTGAATGGGATGGGGTCCTTCCCCAAAGGGAACTTCCCCATACTATAAATCCCCCCGTACTCATTTTTGGGAGAGCATGGCCTTTTCAAAAAGCCAGGGTTTTTGGGTTCGTTTCCCCACGAGGGGCCGTAAAAAAATGTATGCAAACCCCTAAATGTAAATCGCTCTGGATAAGAGGGTCTGCTAAATTACTAAAAAGTAAAAAAAAAAGTCCGGGGGGACAAGCGGGCAAACCCCAAAAATGAAAGAGGATCAAAAAAAAAGGGCAAACCTGGATCAGTAGGGAAATCCTTTATTCCCTCCCCCATGAGAAAAAAATTCTCCCAAAAAACTTTTAAAGGGGGGAAAAACGCCCGGACTTCAAATCAATACAAACAAACCCAAGGAAAACAAACAAAGGGTGGTTTAAAGAAGCAACAACAAAAACCAAATCAAAAACATTGGACAGAACTCAATGGTAAATGTAAACCCTTTTCCCGGATTCAAGGGGGCGAATTTATTTTAAAAAGCCTTTTCACCACCCTTTTCCAGCAACCTTTTTGGCCAATCACTAATTCTGGCGCCTTTGGAAAACAAACACATTTAAAAAAACCCATCATTTTTCCAAGGCTATCTACGGGGGACAGTTAGTTTTTACGGTTTCAACTTAATTTGCAAAAATCCTTAAAAAATTTTTGAAAAAAAGAAAGCCACGGGCCTTTAAAAACTCCCAGCTAATTTCCCATGATGCTGCTGATCGATTGGACCTTTGTAACCACATCATCAAACCTTTTCCCTTCAACTGGGAAATACCACAGGGGTTGAAACCCTGCAAGAATTTTTCCTTTTTACAAAAAGGAAGCAAAATTTGAACAAGGGAACTACAGACCAGTGTCAATTTTGAGTATGTTGTCAAAGGTTTTATAAAGAACACTCCATGAACAGATCCTAAAGTACATTGATGACCATAACATTTCATATGACCTTCAGTCTGGCTTTAGACAATCCTATTCCACCAACACATGTTTACTATACTTGACAGATTTTGTCAAGCAAGAAATTGACAAGGGCAAATGCTGTGGTAACAGAATGACACCGAAGAAGATGGCAGCCGTTTACAGCCCTCTAACCAAATTTGTACTATTATCAAATCAAATTTTATTTGGTCACATGCGCCGAATACAACAGGTGCAGACTTACAGTGAAATGCTTACTTACAGCCCTTAACCAAACAGTGCATTTATTTTAAACAAAAAAGTAAGAATAAAACAACAACAAAAAAGTGTTGAGAAAAAAAGAGCAGAAGTGAAATAAAGTGACAGTAGGGAGGCTATATATACAGTAAAATAAAGTGACAGTAGGGAGGCTATATATACAGGGGGGTACCGTTGCATAGTCAATGTGCGGGGGCACCGGCTAGTTGAGGTAGTTGAGGTAATATGTACATGTGGGTAGAGTTAAAGTGACTATGCATAAATACTTAACAGAGTAGCAGCAGCGTAAAAAGGATGGGGTGGGGGGGCAGTGCAAATAGTCCGGGTAGCCATGATTAGCTGTTCAGGAGTCTTATGGCTTGGGGGTAGAAGCTGTTGAGAAGTCTTTTGGACCTAGACTTGGCACTCCGGTACCGCTTGCCGTGCGGTAGCAGAGAGAACAGTCTATGGACTAGGGTGGCTGGAGTCTTTGACAATTTTGAGGGCCTTCTTCTGACACCGCCTGGTATAGAGGTCTTGGATGGCAGGGAGCTTTGCCCCAGTGATGTACTGGGCCGTACGCACTACCCTCTGTAGTGCCTTGCGGTCAGAGGCCAAGCAGTTGCCATACCAGGCGGTGATGCAACCAGTCAGGATGCTCTCGATGGTGCAGCTGTAGAATTTTTTGAGGATCTGAGGACCCATGCCAAATCTTTTTAGTCTCCTGAGGGGGAATAGGCTTTGTCGTGCCCTCTTCACGACTGTCTTGGTGTGTTTGGACCATGATAGTTCGTTGGTGATGTGGACACCAAGGAACTTGAAGCTCTCAACCTGTTCCACTACAGCCCCGTCGATGAGAATGGGGGCGTGCTCAGTCCTCTTTTTTTTCCTGTAGTCCACAATCATCTCCTTTGTCTTGGTCACGTTGAGGGAGAGGTTGTTGTCCTGGCACCACACGGCCAGATCTCTGACCTCCTCCCTATAGGCTGTCTCATCGTTGTCGGTGATCAGGCCTACCACTGTTGTGTCGTCGGCAAACTTAATGATGGTGTTGGAGTCGTGCCTGGCCATGCAGTCATGGGTGAACAGAGAGTACAGGAGGGGACTGAGCACGCACCCCTGAGGGGCCCCCGTGTTGAGGATCAGTGTGGCAGATGTGTTGTTACCTACCCTTACCACCTGGGGGCGGCCCGTCAGGAAGTCCAGGATCCAGTTGCAGAGGGAGGTGTTTAGTCCCAGGATCCTTAGCTTAGTGATGAGCTTAGAGGGCACTATGGTGTTGAATGCTGAGCTGTAGTCAATGAATAGCATTCTCACGTAGGTGTTCCTCTTGTCCAGGTGGGAAAGGGCAGTGTGGAGTGCGATAGAGATTGCATCATCTGTGGATCTGTTGGGGCGGTATGCAAATTGGAGTGGGTCTAGGGTTTCTGGGATTATGCTGTTGATGTGAGCCATGACCAGTCTTTCAAAGCACTTCATGGCTACAGACGTCAGTGCTACGGGTCGGTAGTCATTTAGGCAGGTTATCTTAGAGTTCTTGGGCACGGGGACTATGGTGGTCTGCTTGAAACATGTTGGTATTACAGACTCAGTCAGGGACATGTTGAAAATGTCAGTGAAGACACTTGCTAGTTGGTCAGCACATGCTCGGAGTACACGTCCTGGTAATCCGTCTGGCCCTGCGGCCTTGTGAATGTTGACCTGCTTAAAAGTCTTACTCACATCGGCTACGGAGAGCGTGATCACATAGTCGTCCGGAACAGCTGGTGCTCTCATGCATGCTTCAGTGTTGCTTGCCTCGAAGCGAGCATAGAAGTGGTTTAGCTCGTCTGGTAGGCTTGTGTCACTGGGCAGCTCGCGGCTGTGCTTCCCTTTGTAGTCTGTAATAGTTTTCAAGCCCTGCCACATCCGACGAGCGTCAGAGCCAGTGTAGTATGATTCAATCTTAGACCTGTATTGACTCTTTGCCTGTTTGATGGTACGTCGGAGGTCATAGCGGGATTTCTTATAAGCGTCCGGGTTAGAGTCCCGTTCCTTGAAAGCGGCAGCTCTACCCTTTAGCTCAGTGCGGATATTTCCTGTAATCCATGGCTTCTGGTTGGGGTATGTACGTACGGTCACTGTGGGGACGACGTCATCGATGCACTTATTGATGAAGCCAGTGACTGATGTGGTGTACTCCTCAATGCTGTCTGAAGAATCCCGGAACATGTTCCAGTCTGTGCTAGCAAAAACAGTCCTGTAGCTTAGCATCTGCGTCATCTGACCACTTTTTTATTAGCCGAATCACTGGTGCTTCCTGCTTCAGTTTTTGCTTATAAGCAGGAATCAGGAGGATAGAGTTATGGTCAGATTTGCCAAATGGAGGGCGAGGGAGAGCTTTGTATGCGTCTCTGTGTGTGGAGTAAAGGTGGTCTAGAGTTTTTTCCCCTCTGGTTGCACATTTAACATGCTGGTAGAAATGAGGTAGAACGGATTTAAGTTTCCCTGCATTAAAGTCCCCGGCTACTAGGAGCGCTGCATCTGGATGAGCGTTTTCCTGTTGATTAATGGCCTTGTACAACTCATTCAGTGCAATCTTAATGCCAGCATTGGTTTGTGGTGGTAAATAGACAGCTATGAAAAATATAGATGAAAACTCTCTTGGTAAATAGTGTGGTCTACAGCTTATCATAAGATACTCTACCTCAGGCGAGCAAAACCTTGAGACTTCCTTAGTATTTGATTTTGTGCACCAGCTGTTGTTTACAAATATACACAGACCGCCACCCCTTGTCTTACCAGAGTCTGCAGTTCTGTCCTGTCGATGTAGCGTATAGCCCGCTAGCTGGATGTTTGTCATTGTTGTCGTTCAGCCACGACTCCGTGAAACATAAGATATTACAGTTTTTAATGTCCCGTTGGTAGGATAACCGTAATCTTAAATCGTCAATTTTATTCTCAAAAGATTGAATCTGGGCCTTGTCGGGTGTCTGTATGATATCCTTCGCGAACGCCTCGTTGAAGAAAAAGTCTTCGTCCAATTCGAGGTGAGTAATCGCTGTCCTGATATCCAGAAGCTCTCTTTGGTTATAAGAGACGATGGCAGAAACATTGTGTACAAAATAAATTACAAATAACGCGGAAAAACACACATAATAGTACAATTGGTTAGAGGGCTGTAAAACGGCAGCCATCTTCTTCCGGCGCTGTTCTATTATGTGTGTTTTTTCACATTATTTGTAATTTATTCTGTACATAATGTTTCTGCCACCGTCTCTTATGACCAAAAAGAGCTTCTGGATATCAGGACAGCGATTACTCACCTTGTATTGGACGAATATTTTTTCTTCAACGTGTCAGACGCGAAGGACATCCTACAGACACCCGACAAGGCCCAAATCACCGTCATTCGATCAGGAAGAGACGGAGACATCGTGGACGTAGGTCGGGGTGCCTTGTAAGGACCAACGGCGAGCGTGTAAACTGCCTCTTCCATCAATCCTATTAGCCAATGTTCAATCATTTGAAAATAAATTAGACGACCTAAGATTATGGTTATCCTACCAACGGGACATTAAAAACTGTAATATCTTATGTTTCACTGAGTCGTGGCTGAACGACGACATGGATAACATACAGCTGGCGGGATATACGCTACATCTGCAATTTAGAACGGCTGACTCCGGTAAGGCAAGGGGTGGCAGTCTGTGTATATTTGTAAATGACAGCTGGTGCATAAAATCTAATACTAAGGAAGTCTCAAGGTTTTGCTCGCCTGAGGTAGAGTATCTCATGATAAGCTGTAGACCACACTATTTAAAAAGAGAGTTTATCTATATTTTTCATAGCTGTCTATTTACCACCACAAACCGATGCAGGCACTAAGATTGCACTCAAAGAGCTGCATAAGGCCATAAGTAAACAGGAAAACGCTCATCCAGAGGCAGCGCTCCTAGTGGCCGGGGGACTTTAATGCATGGAAACTTAAATCTGTTCTACCTCATTTCTACCAGCATGTTAAATGTGCAACCAGAGGGAAAAAACTCTAGACCACCTTTACTCCGCACACAGAGACGCGTACAAAGCTCTCCCTCGCCCTCCATTTGGCAAATCTGACCATAATTCTATCCTCCTGATTCCTGCTTATAAGCAAAAATGAAAGCAGGAAGCACCAGTGACTCGGTTAATAAGGAAGTGGTCAGATGACGCAGATGCTAAGCTACAGGACTGTTTTGCTAGCACAGACTGGAACATGTTCCGGGATTCTTCCGATAGCATTGAGGAGTACACCACATCAGTCACTGGCTTCATCAATAAGTGCATCGATGACGTCGTCCCCACAGTGACCATAAATACACAACCCAACCAGAAGCCATGGATTACAGGCAACATCCGCACTGAGCTAAAGCGTAGAGCACTGACGTCTGTAGCCATGAAGTGCTTTGAAAGGCTGGTCATGGCTCACATCAACAGCATTATCCCAGAAACCCTAGACCCACTCCAATTTGCATACCGCCCCAACAGATCCACAGATGATGCAATCTCTATTGCACTCCACACTGCCCTTTCCCACCTGGACAAGAGGAACACCTACGTGAGAATGCTATTCATTGACTACAGCTCAGCATTCAACACCATAGTGCCCTCTAAGCTCATCACTAAGCTAAGGATCCTGGGACTAAACACCTCCCTCT